TGTGTGTGTGTGTGTGTGTGTGTGTGTGTGTGTGTGTGTGTGTGTGTTAATATGTGTTTGTACATGGGTTGACAGGGCGAATAGCGGGGGCAGTGCACATACGCATGGAATCCTAAAGTTGATGTCCATTATCTTCTTCGATTGCTCTTTGTTTTTTTATTCATGGAGTTAGGGTCTCTCGCTGCAGCCAGAAATTACCAATTCTGACTAATCTCATTAGCCAGTCTATCGCAGGAACCCCCATCTTGGCCTTCCAAGTGCTGGGATTACAAGCAGCAGCCACACCTTCCTGATACCTCTGTATGTGCCGGGATTCGATTCCATTCCTTACGTTAGTTCCCGGCCACTGGTGGCTCCGCTGGGCTCCTCCGAGTAAAACCGTACTGTGGGGAGATGCTGTTCTTCAGTGGCTGTATCACCAGAATCCTTCCACTCCAGTTACATTCCCAGAGCAGGTCCAGTCCCAGGCAGTGGGACCACTAAGAAAAATACAGGCCTGGAAGACAGCTTAGTGCTAAAATGTTTGCCTGAGCTGGGACCTCATAAAAATCTGGGCTTGGTGATACATACTTGTAATCCCAGATCTACGGGGGCAGAGACCAAAGTATCCCTGAGATTCACTGGACAGTCAGCCTAGCAGGATCAGTCTTCTTGTGGTATCCTTCCTTGACCCCTCTGGCTCCTTCAATCCTTCTTCCCCATCTTCCACAACATTCTCTGAGCTCCACCCAATGTTTGGATGTGGGTCTCCGTATCTTTTTCTATTAGCTGCTGGGTGGAGCCTCTCAGAGGACCATTATGCTGGGCTCCTGTCTGCAAGTACAGCAGAGTATCATTAATAGTCAGGGGTGGGCTCCCTGTAATGACATGGATCTCAAGTTGGACCAGTCACTGGTTGGCCATTTCCTCAATCTCTGCTCCTTCTTTATCACTGCTCATCTTGTAGGGAGGACAAATTGTGAGTCAAAGGTTTTCTGGCTGGGTTGGTGCCCCCTCCCTCCATCTGGAAGTCTTTCCTGGTTACAGGAAGTGACCCTTTCAGGTGCCATATAGCCTATTTCCAGGAGTCTTATCTAGGGTCACCCTCATAGGTTCCTGGGAGCTTTCCTTGCCCTTGGTTTCTAGTTCATCTTAGAGATGGTCCCCTACCAATCCCAGTTCTTTCTCCCGACATCCCTACACTTGATCCCTCCTGTTCCCCTCCCCACCCCTTCTCCTACTCAGTTCCCTCCACCCCCAGTGACTATTTTATTTCTCCTCCTCAATAAGATTCAAGCATCCTCCCTTAGGTCCTCCTTATTACTCAGCTTCTTTGGGTCTGTAGATTGTAACATAGTTATCATGTACTTCATGGCTAGTATCCACTTGGTAAGTAAGAACATACGATGCATGTCATTCCGGGTCAGTTACTTCACTCAGGATGATATTTTATAGTTCCATCCACTTGCCTGCAAATCTCATGGTGTCCTTTTTTTTTAATTGCTGGGTAGTAGTCCATTTTGTAAATGTGCCACATTTTCTTTATCCATTCTTTGTTTGAAGGACATCTGGGTTGTTCCAGTTTCTGCCTATTACAAATAAAGCTGCTTATGAACATAGTTGAACAAGTGTCCTTGTGGTATGGTAGAACATCTTTTGGATATATGCCTAGGAGTGGTATAGCTGGATCTTGAGGTAGAACTAGTCCCAATTTTCTGAGAAACCACCAAAGAGGTTGTACAAGTTTGCACTCCCACCAGCAATGGAGGAGTGTTCCCCTAGCCCTACATCCTCGCCAGTATGCACTGTCACTTGAGTGTTTGATCTTAGCCATTCTGACAGGTGTAAGATGGAATCTCAGAGTCATTTTGATTTGCATTTCCCTAATGACTGAGGGCACTGAACATTTCTTTAAGTGCTTCTCAGCTGTTCTAATAATTCTCTGTTTAGCTCTGTACCCCATTCTTAATTGTGTTATTTGGTTTGTTGATATCTCATTTCTTGAGTTCTTTATATATTTTGGATATCATCCTTCTGTAGGATGTAGGGTTGGTGAAGATCTTTTCACATTCCATAGGCTGTTGTTTTGTCCTATTGACAGTGTCCTTTGCCTTGTAAAAAGCTTTTCAGTTTCATGAGGTCCCGTTTATTTATTGTTGATCTAGTACCTGAACTGTTGGTGTTCTGTTTGGGAAGCTGTCTCCTGTGTCAATGCATTCAAGGTTATTCCATACTTTCTCTTTATCGGATTTAATGTATCCAGCTTTATGTTGAGGTTTTTTTTTTATCCACTTGGACTTAATTTTTGTGCAAGTTGGTAAATATATATCAATTTGCATTTTCCTACATGTAGACATCCTGTTAGATCAGCACCATTTAAGATACTATTTTTTTTCCAGTGTATGCTTTTGGCTTCTTTGTCAAAAATCAAGTGTTCATAGGTGTATTAATTTATTTCTGGGTCTTTAATTTGATTCCATTGATTGACTTGTCTGTTTTGTGCCAATACCATGTAGTTTTTATTACTGTTGCTCTGTGGTACAGCTTGAAATCAGGGATGGTGATACCTCCAGAAGATCTTTTATTGTACAGGATTTATTGTACTTTAGCTATCCTGGGTTTGTTTTGTTTTGTTTTGTTTTTCCATATGAAGTTGAGTGTTTCGCTTTTAAGGTCTATAAAGGTGTTAGAATTTTTATGGGAATTGCAATCTATAGATTATATTTGATAAGATGACAATTTTTACTATGCTAGTCCTACTGATTCATGAGCACGAGCATATTTTCTTTCTTCAAAGACTTGAATTTCTTGTCATACAGGTCTTTCACTTGCTTGGTTAGAGTTACACCAACATATTTTCTATTACTTGTGGCTACTGTGAAGAGCTTTGTTTCCCTGATTTCTTTCTCAGCGCACTTGTCATTTATATAAAGAGGGCTACTGATATTTCGCAGTTAATTTTATATCCAGAAACTTTGCTGAAGGTGTTTATCAGTATAGGAGTTCTCTTGTAAAGGGTTTTTTTTTTTTGAAAATCACTTATGTATACTATCATATCATCTGCAAATAGTGATAACTTTGATTTCTTTCTTTTCAGTTTATATCCCCTTGATGTCCTTTAGTTGTCTTATTTATCTAGCTAGAATTTCACATACTATATTGAATAGATATGGAGAAAGTAGAAAGCCTTGGCTTGTCCCTGATTTTAGTGGAATTGCTTTGAATTTCTCTCCATTATTTTGATGTTGGGTGTCATCTTATTGTATATTGCCTTTATTATGTTTAGGTATGTCCCTTGTATACCTGATCTCTCTAAGACTTTTAGCATGAAGGGGTGTTAGATTTTGTCAAATGCATTTTCATAATCTAATGAGATGATCATGTGGGGTTTTTTCTTTCATTTTGTTTACATGGTGAATTACATTGACAGATTTTCATATGCTGAACCATCCCTGCATCCCTGGAATGAAGCCTACTTGATCATGGTGGATGATTGTTTTGATGTGTTCTTGGATTTGGTTTGCAAGTATTTTATTGAGGATTTTTGCATCAATGATCATAAGGGAAATTGGTCTGAAATTCTCTTGCTGGGTCTTTGTGTGGTTTAGGTAGCAAAGTGGCTGTAGCTTCATAGAATAAGTTTGGCAATGTTCCTTCTGTTTCTATTTTGTAGAATAGTTTGAAGAAAAATAGTATTAGCTCCTCTTTGAAAGTCCAGTAGAATTCTTCACTAAAACCATCTGTCCCTGGGCTTTGGGAGGCGGGCTTTTATTGACTACTCCTATTTCCTTAGCGATTATAGGTCTATTTAAATTGTTCACCTGCTCTTTATTTAACATTGGTAAGTGGTATTTATCAAGAAAATAGTCAATTTCATTTAGATTTTCTAATTTTGTGGAATACAAAGTTTTGACGTAAGACCTAGTGATTCTTTGGATTTCATCAGTATCTGTTGTTATATCCCATTTTTATTTCTGATTCTGTTAATTTGGATATTATCTCTCTACCTTTTGGTCAGTTTGGCTAAGAGTTAGTCTATCTTGTTGATTTCTTAGCGAGCCATTTCTTGGATTCACTGTTTCTTTGTATTGTTCTCTTTGTTTCTAAGTTATTGATCTCATGCCTGAGTTTGATTATGTCCTGCCATCTAGTCCCTTTGGGTGTGCTTGCTTCTTTTTGTTCCACAGCTTTCAGAGGTGCTGTTAATTTTCTTGTATGAGCTCTCTCCAATTTATTTATAAAGACACTTGGGCTATGAACTCTCCTCTTAACACTGATTTCATTATGTTGCATAAGTTTGATTATGTTGTGCCTTAATTTTCATTGAATTCTAGAAAGTTTTTATTTATTTCTTCCCTGACCCAGTGGTTATTGAGTAAAGAGTTGTTCAGTTTTCATGAGTTTGTAGGCTTTCTGTTGTTTCTGTTGTTGTGGAAGTCCAGCTTTAATCCATGGTGGTCTGATAAGATGCAAGAGGTTAATTCATTTTTTAAAAAATCTTTTGAGACTCTCTTTGTGTTTAAGCATATGGTCAATTTTGAAGAAAGTTCTATGAGGTGTTGAGAAGGTATATTCTTTTGGGTCAAATGTTCTATAGATATATGTTAGGTCCAATTGATTCATAACATTGGTTAGTTTCATTATTTCTCTGTTTAGTTTCTGTCTTGATGACCTGTCCATTGGTGAGAGTCAGGTGTTGAAATCTCCTACTATTAATGTGTGGGGTTTGATGTGTGGTTTAAGCTTTACTAATGATTCTTTTAGAAACATGAGTACCCTTGCATTTGGGGCATAGATTTCAGAACTGAGATGTCTTCTTGGTTGGTTTTACCTTTGATGAGTATGAAGTATTCTTCCCTATCTCTTTTGATTAATTTTTGTTGAATGTCTGTTTTTATTAGATATTAGGATGGCTATTTTAGCCTGCTTCTTTGGTCTGTTTGCTTGGAAAATCTTTTTCCAGCTCTTTACTCTGAGGTAATGTCTATATAGACATTACTTTGTCTCTGAAGTGTGTCTCTTTTATGCAGCAGAATAGCTGTTTCACAACTATCCTGTTAGCCTGTGTCTTTTTTATTGGGGGATGGAATACATTGATGTTGAGAGATATTAATGACCAATGGTTGTTGATTCCTGTTATTTTGGCGTTTGTGGTTTGTATGTGTGGTACACACACGCGTGTACCCCACGTGCGTGTTTTCCTTCTTTTGGTTTTGCTGGTGTAGGGTTATTTATTTCCTGTGTTTTCCTGGGTGTAGTTAACCTCCTTGGGGTGTTTTCCTTCTGTAGAGCTGGATTTATGGATAGTTGTTTAAATATGGTTTTGTCTTGTAATATCTTGTTTTCTCCATCTATGCTGATTGAAAGTTTTCCTGGGTATAGTAATCTGAGCTGGCATCTGTGATCTCTTGGAGACTGCAAGACATCTGCCCAAGCCCTTCTGGCTTTTAGAGTCTCTATTGAAAAGTTGGAGACAATTCTGATAGGTCTGCCTTCATATGTTATTTAGCCTTTTCCCTTGCAGCTTTTAATATTCTTTCTTTGTTCTGTAGATTTGGTGTTTTGATTATTATGTGGTAGGAGGATTTTCTTTTCTGGTCTAATCTATTTGCTGCTCTGTAAGCTTCTTGTATGTTTACAGGGATCTCTTTCCTTGGGCTGGGGAAATTTTCCTCTATGATTTTTGTTGAAAATATTTGCTGGGCCTTGGTGCTGGGAAACTTCTCCTTCTTTTCCTATTATTTTTTAGGTTTGGTCTTTTCATCATGTCCCAGATATCCTAGATGTTTTGTGTCAGGAACGTTTTAGATTTACCATATTTTTGACCATTGTATCGATTTCTTCTATTATGTCTTCTATGCCTGAGATTCTCTCTTCCATCTCTTCTATTCTGTTGTTGATGCTTACATCTTCCCTAGGTTTTCCATCTCCAGGATTCCCTCAGTTTGTAGTGGTTTTTTTTTTTGGTTTTGATTTTGGTTTTGTTTTGGGGGGGTTGTTTATGTTTTTGCTTCTATTTCCATTTTCAGATCTTAAACTGTTTTATTCATTTCATTCACCTGTTTGACTATATTTTTAAGGGATTTATTCATTTCCTCTTTAAAGGCCTTTACCATCTTTTTAAGATTGGATTTAAAGTTATTTTCTTGTGCTTTGGCTGTGTTCGGATATCCAGGTCTTGCTGCAGGTAGCATATTGCCCTGTCTTTTGTTGATTGCATTTTTTATGTTGTCCCTGGTGCCAGTAGGCCACCAGGGATGCAGGCAGAGCTGTGGGCCAGGAAATGGAGGACAAGGGAGCCAGTGCAATTTAACACTGATGGGTATGCTTTAGGGGTATTTGGAAGGCAGGGGAAAAGGGGGTTTCCCTGGTAATCTCTGATGCCAGCAGGCCTCCAGGAATGCAGGCAAGGTTTCGGGCTAGAAATGGAGTGCAGGGGACAGGGTGCAGTTTATGCTGCTGGGTGTGCGTAAGGGAACCTGGTGGGCAGGGGACCTGAGGTGAAGTCCTACTTGGTTGTTGGCAGTACTGGTTGTCCCTGGTTCAGGCGGGCCTACGAGAATGCAGGCAGAGCCATGGGATAGACAATGGAAAACCCATGGGAAACCTTCCCTTTGCTCTCCTTTGTATCTTATTGTCATATGCCTCATGGATCTTTCTAGACCTTTTGACACATTTTTTTTTTATTTGGTTCCTTTATTCTACACACTGCTCTTCAATCGCTTGCCAGTACACTCTTCCACGGCTAACTAAAGCATTTAGTCTTCATTTCCATTTGGAGGGACCTCCTTCACTTCCTGTCAGTGCCTGGACTTTGGTTTCATGGCATTTATTTTGGAGCACAGTGGGTATGAAGAATCTGACAAACAAACAAGCTTTCTCTCTGTACAGAATAGCTGATCCAGGCTGAAATAACCTTCTTGTTCTCTCCACAGATGAGCGACTGTTTCAGAGGTGTGGTGTTTGATGGCCTGGAAACACTCTTTTCACGGAATTTGACCTCTACCCTCCTCTGCCTGCTAAAGGCCATCGGCAGCCGGGAGCACATATATGTCCTCAACATGGCTCAGGATTATATGGCCATGAAAGCCCAGGAGAAAATAAAAAAGGAGCAAGAAGGCAAGGCCGCTGACCTTTTAAAACCCAATTGGGCTTTCCCTTGCCACTGAGGTCTTGTGATTTTCAACCTGTTTCCCTGGTATAATAATCCAATGGGTTTAAACATCACACTTGTTACATAGTCACACTGGCGTCTTGTTGGCACCTTACCTCTACCCTGGGAAATGACTGGGGCACTTATTTCTAATTATAGTCAAGCTAAGCAGAACACCCTGTGGCGACATCCTGGGATGCTTTTTTATGTCATTCCTCTAAACTAATGGGACTATTTTTCACACTTCAGGTCATTTCATCCTCACCCAGGAAGATTATTGTCCCCATTTTCCAGATAAAGAGAATTAATCCCCCAAGATAGCAAAAGTCTTCTCAAGCCCACATGATAGCCAAATGTGATGTCACTCAGTAGGTGTGGGCAGGTGTGTACACTCGAGGCCAGCCTGGTCTGCACAGCGAGGCTACAAGTTCTTGTATATACAAGTTCTGAATCGTATATTCAGAACTGTCCAAAGAGCAGAACACACACACACACACACACACTGTAAATAAATTAGTGTAATTTTTAAAAGAAAAAAAAAAGACACAACAACATAAAAATAATTTTACTCCAATTGTTAATAATTTAGTCAGAAGCAGACCAGTAAAGCATGGCGTGTGGAGGAGGAATTTGGTACTGCTGCCAACACTGTCCCCAGGAGGCTGAGCCCTGCCTCTAAGAAGCCTCAGTTCTGGCTACCCTATTGTCCTTCAACTGGGCTTTCCTCTCCTTACAATTTAAAGTAAGGGAATATTTAAAGCAGACTTCATTCATGAAGAGGACTCAAAGTCTGCTTCCTAATATTCTCACCAAGAACAAGGACCAGAATTCCTTTGAAGTATTTCAACCTTCTACTTCTTAGTTACCTAGAACACTTTTCTACAATGATCAGTTTGAAAGAAATGGCTTCTTTTTTTTTTTTTCTTGATGGTCTCTGGGCTGGGTCTGTTTCTCTGATCTGACACAGAATCAGTGTCTTGTGAACACAAGCTTGTGGTCTTCTTGCTAAATTTTGGCCTGGTGGGAAGGGCATACTCCCTCAGGACTCATTTGACAGGCCACTAATCCCATTCAAGAGGGCCCCATCCTTATGACCTGTTCATCTCCTCAGACCCTGAATCTTAACACTATCATAGTAAGGATTAACTTTCTACCTGTGAATTTAGGGAGACACAAACATTAATGCCACAGAAATTATAAATTTGATGACTTGAAACAACATGGACTTGTTGTGTTACAGTTCTGGGGTCATAGGTCTTGAAGTCTAGGTGTTAACAGTGCTGTGGACCTTTAGAAGCTGTGGTGGGAAGAAGCCCTCTCCTTGCCTTTCATAGCTTTTGGAAGCGACCTGAATTTCTTGACACATGTCCCTTCCTTGCAGCTTTTATCCTAGAACCTCTGCTTCTTTTGTCACACCTCTCTACTTCTGCTGTGAACCCTCTCCTCTGACTCTCCTGCATCCTTCTTACAAGGAACCTCTTGACAGGACTCTGTCACCCAGATAACCCAAGGTCCTAATGCAATCACATCTGCAAAAGTCCTTCTGCCATGGAAAGCCCTGCATTCTACAGTTTAAGGATTAAGTCATGAGCCTGGAACTACCACTCAGCCAACCACAGGTGGAACCCAAAATTGGCACCATAGAGATAAAGGAAGACCAGCAGGGACTGGGGTCATCATCTGCCCTCCTATCACTTCCTGCTGTCTCCATGTGGGCAAAAACTGGTAAGGCCTTGCCATGCCCTTCTCTCTGTTCACCCTGCAGAGCTCAAACACAGGGAGGCTATGATGAAGGAGAAGGAGCGTCTCCGATCATTAGATGAGGAAGAATATGATGCCCTAACACCAGAAGAGAAACTCGCATTTGACCGTGAGGTTCGGCAGACACTCCGGGAGAGAAAGAAGAGGTGGGACTAATGGCTGGCCAGAGCAACACTGTTCCCTGAGGAGGGGCTCATGAGGAGACCAGTGTCAGCTCTGAGTCATCTTCCAGAAAAACAGTAGCCACCACAGAAGACATGGAGGGTGGGAAAACCCATTTGGCTACTCCAGGGACCAGGCTACTGTGAACTTTTGGAGTATCTCCTATTATCCTCTGCTCCCTTCCTGCTAGGGCAGTTGAGACTTCCATGATGCTGCAGGAAACGTCTATGATTCCGTAGCTAGTTCTCAGGAAGGACTTCCTATCCCTGTGTTCTCCTAGCGTACCTTCATCTTTTCACCTGCATAGGACAAATGTCTGTTCATCAAGAGGCATATCATATTCAGGTCCCACTGGCTGCCCTAGCAAATGAATCCTGGGTGGGACTCGTTGGCCTCCATGGGTAGGAGTCTGCAGCTTGTGACCTAGGAGCCACTGTTGACACTTTAGGTCAACTTGATGAACAGACATTTCATTTAGTGGCCTAACTAGTCTCCCACGTCTTAAGCCCACATCTGGCTGCCTCTATATGATCCTCAGCCTGAGCAGTTCCGTGGAGACTGAAGCTCAGTCAACAAGTACAGCTACTTGGTGCTTAGCACTCCGGAAAGCCGGGGCTGCAAGCTCAGGCTGTCTACCTCACAAACAGCCTTTCCACCTTCAGCCATCACAGACCGAGGCAGTGCCATGACCTGTGTACCCTTGGGCTTTCCAATGTTGAGGGTTCAGAGCCATGGTATTCAGCTAGGATATAAGCCGACTTTCTCCCCTCCCTCGCCTCCAGGCTCCTCTCTCGGGCTCTGAAAGGGGTTGTATGTCTCCTGTCTCCCCCACAGCTTACCTTCATCTTTTCCCCTGCACAGGAGAAATGTTTGTTCAGGAGGCATAACAAGCTTGGCTTCGGCACCCCAGGAAACACTCCCTTATCATCAAGGCTGCAGTGCCTGCTGCCTTCATGCATTCACTTCAGAGTGCACATTTGATCCCCAAAGCTCATCATCGAGCTGTTTGTGACACACACACACACACACACACACACACACACAGCACATCATGAAGAATGTAGACACAGCCTCAGTGAGCAGTGAGTCACAGCAGCCAGGAGCAACTACAGATCCGTAGAGATGAAAAGAGCTGGGTTAATCAGAGTTTCCTAAGCTTTGTGTTCTTGGGTCCTTCTTGCCCAAGAAATGTTTAAGGCCAGGCATAGCGGTACATGGCATCAATACCAGCACTTAGGAGGCAGAGGCAGGTGGATCTCTGCGTTCAAGGCCAGCCTGGTCCATGAGTTCCAGGACAGCCAGAGCTACACAAAGAAACCCTGCCTTGAAAAAAATAATAAATTTAATTAATCAATTAATCTATTAAAATTAGAAATACAAAAAAAGAAGAAAAGAAAGGTTTACATGACCTCAAGGAATATAGGTAAATTGACATGCAACCCAAACATTTTCTGTTGTCAGACTAAAATCTATTTTAAAACAATTCTTTGGTATACATATAATTTCACTACTTATTAAATACAGAAGTAAATTTGCATACTAATGAGGTGAATATACGTTTTCTTTAGAAACATGGCCTCACTGTGAAGACCAGGCTGGCCTCAAACTCAAAGCTCACAGAGCTCGCCTTGCCTGTTCCTCCCAAGCGCTCAGGTTAATGGTGTGTGCCACCACAACCAGCTGCTCCTTTATTTATATGTAAAGAATTAAATCTTTAATACTGAAGGACAGAGAGTATCTTCAGCACTTTTCAGAATTGATTGATACTTTTATTTTATCATCATAAATGTTGGGAAAACTCACATAAAGATGCAGTACAAAAATATCAGAGTCTTTTTTTAATTTTTTAAATCTGGAAATTCTGCCTAATCTCAAGCCAGAATTTATTTCAGGATTTATTTTTATTTTTAAATGAAACTCAAGTCAGAAATCAAACAGCCGTTTTTAGAATCAAACATTCTAATGCAGTGATATACTAATTTGATACGTCCCTGCTAACACATGACCAGGAAAATATTTGAAGTCTTTCTTTTCCACAATTAAGCTATTCTGTTTATATAAAAGCAGAAAACTACATGCAGTAAAAACCCTGAATTCACAACATCCAGCAGTCTCGAATCTGAGCCAAAGTGTGTCAAGCAGTGTTCATTGGCTTTGCATGCATAGTATGACGGTAACCAAAGCTATGTGGGGCATGATGACATACACCTTTAATTCCAGCACTCTGGAGGTTGATCCAGAACTCACAGGCAGATCCCTGTGAGTTCCAAGCTAGCCTAGTCTACATGGTTTGGTATTTTATTTTTAATTAATTTTTGGCTATTGCATATCCAGTAACTTTTTACTATTGGCATTTTTTTTTCACAACCCCGCATTCAGTTACATAATCCCATCCCAAGATGTGATCTTCAGCTTAAAAAGCTGTGGCTTTAGATGTTTTCAGAAGTGCCATCTCCTCACTTCTTTACATGTGGCGCCTGCTTTGATGCTTCTGTGCTGTAAGCAGCAAGGGCAGGCGTGGCTGAATGCACAGAACAAGGGAAAGAAAAACAGGAGAGCTCTGAGGCAGCTGTGATATTCAAAACATACCATTCCTTCATGCCTGAACATCGGATATGTGAGTGTAGGCGAGTGGGCTACACCGAAGCTGATACCATAGCAATAGCAGTCTTTGAACATTCTTTCTCAATGATCAAGCTTATTTCCAGCCTTTCTCTGTCTCTCCCATGAAAAGAGTCAAAAACAGAAATAAGTTAAAACAGATAAGTTAGCAAAAATCTAATTGTATTTAATTCATCAGATTTACTGAATGGCCTTTCAAAAATAGTTGTGACCCCCTTTTCCCATTATTTCTTTATTCATTCATTCCCTGTCTTCCTCCCTCCCTCCCTCTCCCCCTCCTTCCCTCTTTTCCTTCCTATTCTCCTTCTTTCCAAGAAAGCTCTGTCCAGGGTCCCTCCTCCCTGAAGCCCTGACTAGGCAGGTGGAACAGGGGGCCCTAAACTCTGTTTTCTGTCTCTGGCTTGATGCAGGGAGCTGGAAAGGTTGGCCAGGGAGATGCATGAGAAGAAGCTGCAACAGGAGCTGGAAAGGCAAAAGGAGGAGGATGAGCTGAAACGGAAGATCAAAAAGCCTAAACAGGGCCCGGTGAAGGAGGAGCCGTCCCTAAAGAAAGCACAAACAGCCACGAACAAGCAGGTAACAGCCCCTACAGGCTCCTTAATGAGAGGCCACCACTATAACCTGCAAAGCAGCCCATGACTAACCATGTTTGGGGCAGAAAAAAAAATTTTTTTTAAAGTCCACTGCTTTTGCACACTGACTATATGAAGGTGCTGAGTTTACACTTCACCTGATCATGGAGCTGGCATCCGAAAGCGCACAGAAGGACAGTGGTGCCCACCTGTGGGGTACAGATGAAGCCAGAACCCTGTTCTATAACGTATTGCAGTCTTTGTTCTTTCCTTTGCCTGCTACAGGACCCCGGATGGTGCTAAATAAGTTAGGGTTAGAGACTTGCCTCCAGGGGCATCACCAGGCTCTCCCCGGGGCCATGGTTTCTGACCATATTTACAGCACCTGGTATGAATTCTGTCCTGTGGAGCAGACCTCAGATCCAGCCAGGCGAATGTGTGGCTACTCCCGTAAACAGTCTTGCCACTACTGCTCGTGTTGGATAAATTTTGCCCAGCAGGTCATCGGTAGCATGCAATCCAATGCTGGTTAAGATCACTGATGTCCTTTCCTCCCCCGCCCCCTTTCTGGCACTTCAAAGCTAATCAGTATGGAGAGAGTCTCCTGATCAGTTCAAGTTTGATTTCTCTATGTCTAGCTAAATATTTAAGGGCAAGCTTTGTCTACATCACCTGAGCTTAGCACAAGACACATTTGACCGTATTCCTTGGGAAAACTTCTTGGGACCCTTCTTGATTATTATAGTCACCTGGTCTGGAAATGCTAGCTCGAGGAAAACCAGCTGAGACTAGATCGATCCTCTGGAGATATGGTGTGGGGGTCGGGAGTGCCAGATGATGGAGAAGATTTTTGAGAACCACCGAAGCTAGTTGTGTTTCCCCAACTAGCACTGTGTTTCTCTTGTTCTTTCATAATTAAAATTTCCAAAATGTTTCCCTACTCTCAGGCTCTGCTTGCTCAGTTCCCATTCATGCTTCAACCCACCTCAGTTTCCATCACACCCTTTGATCAAAATCTCAAACAGTCTCCTCCTGTCGATTTCAGACAACCACATGTTTGACTTGATTGGTCTCTTTGTGGTGTCATTTTTACACATTGCACCAACTTTTGAACTCTTCTCTCAGTGTACCAGCCCCACTTCCCCTGGCACACTCTCTCCTCCCTCCCCCTCCCCCTTGCCACCTTCTTTTCTCCTCTCTCCCCCTCTCCCCCCTCTTTTCCCTCCTCCCACCTCTCTCTTTCCTTTCTGGCCCTAACTCTGTCCTTAGTCATCACACACTTTTTCAGCCTCAACCTCTTCTCTTCCCAGTGGCAATTTTATCCTATCTGTCACGCTCCCCCCAAAGCCTCACATGTGAAGGCATTGTTGCCAGCTGATGTTCTCCTGTGAAATAACAAATCATGAAAATACTCCTTCATCGATGGAGTACTCCACTGAAGAATTCATAGCTAGATGGACTTAGAGGAAGTGGGGCATTGAGGGAGTGCCTTTGAAGGGTACAGCTTGTCCCAGACCTTCCCACTGTTCCTTTCTCTCCACTTCCTGGACACTGTTTTTCTTTAAAGGTGGCCATTTTAACATTTTTGAAGTTATTAGCATAAAGTAATTCATGGTGTTTCTTCCTTACTATCTTTTTAATGGATTCTAACTCTGCAGTCATGTCCTCATTACCATCCTACATGTTATTTATTGATTATTCCGGTCTTCATTATTTTTTTAATTTTGTTAGAGGTTTTTCATCTTAGGAACGTAGGTGCAGCTCAGTTTATAGAGTGCTTGTCTGCCATGTTCAATCCCCAGCACCTCATAAAAGCAGGCATGGAGGCACACGCTTGTAATCCCAGCACTCAGGAGGTGGAGTCAGGAGGATCAGAAGCTCACGTTTTCCTTTGCTACATTGGAAGTTCAAGACCAGCCTGCTTACATTAGGCTCTGTCTCCAGAAATGTTTGTTATTTCCGTTTCCTTTTCAAATAAACAACTGTTGCCTTTGTGACTCCTTTCCACCATGTGTTTGCTTTCTGATTAGATTTTCTTCCTACCTTTTCAAAATTTCTTCCTTTTTACTTTATGTTTTTCTTCGATTTCTCTTCATATCTTCTTATGGTAGATATTAATTTCATTCATTTTTATTTTCTAATTTATGAAGGGCTATGAGCATGTTTACAAGCATTGTTTCAGCCATAACCTTGCATTGTTGGCATGCAGGGTTGGCACTACTGTCCTCTTCCCAAGCCTTCTGACACTCTTTATAGCTGTTTAACTCATAAATTGTTTCAAAGCGTATTGTCCAACTTCCAAATGAATGGCTTCCTTGATGAGATCTTCTCTCAAATTCCTGGCTCCAGAGATCATGTCCCGTGTCGCATTGATCCTTTGCACTTTCTGGGCTCTGTCATATAGTGTCCTATGTGAATAGTTTTTATAAATACCCACAGGTATAGAATAGTGTACATATTTTCTTCCTGTGTCCGTTGCCTCAAGTTCATTCTCCACATCCCCAAAGCCTTCCATATCTTCTGTAACCTTTTGTCAGCCTCTATGCTGAGTTTCTATAGTCTCCGACTGAAAGTACCCCCTCTCAACTTGGTTCCACCTTCCATATTAGCTCCAGTATCTCCACATGGTTCTCCTCCTGCCTGGGGAGGAGGGGCTGTTTCCCACCAGCCCACAAAGGCAGAAGGGGCAGGAAACAAGGAGCAGAGCTTGGAAGGCCGGTGAGCACGACGAAGATCATGTACTCCGGGAACCACTTCAGAAAGCTAGCTCAACTTTAATCTCGGAGAACAAAGGCTATATACCCCTTGGGGTTTGGTTGAGGGCATGCCAGGGATAGGTGTACCCAATCAGTTAAAACTAGGCACTTCAAGGATGCTTGATTTACATTAAATAGCATGCTCCTATCATATGAACGGAAACACAGTACCTAGTTATCCTATAGGCACAGGGAGGGGAGAGCTAGCAGGAAGCTGTGTGAAAGGCCATATATCAAATGTGGTCTCCAGATGAAGTCAGGCAGAGAGCAGGAGGCCATGCTAGAGAGGAGTCCTGCATCTTAATGCTGAGCTATGAATAGCTATCCAGACTGGGAGGACTACAACCTCAAAAGAGCAGGGTCCTTCAACATTTCCACAGTGGCTTGGCAGGCCGAGACCTCTTCTCACACAAGCTGAAGTGGGACCCTGGAATTCTTACTCATAAGGCAGCTCTGACAAGTGTTTTGGTATGGCCACCTTGTTGGGCCTTGTTCAAGAGGAAGAAATAGAATAAGAAGCACTATGAGGTGAGCAGGAAAGGCAGCCCTGAGTCACTCAAGACTCCATGCCAGCAGCAGGGAAGGAGAACACTGCACTATACTGCAGGCAGTGATCATGAGATTGGACTGAATTTACCATCCCCTAGGAATATACCCCCACCCCAAAGTGATGGGACCACCTAAGGATTTCATCTAAGCAAAGAGGAAAAAAAAAAAAAAAAAAAAAGAAGAAAAACCAGAGCCCACAAAATATATATGAAAGTACAGTAAGAAAAAGAGGTGAGGGTTGGTTGCTGTATGCCAAGTTCATTCATTGAATAAATACATATTTTTTAAAGCCAAAGTATGATCAGATACTAAGCTCCCATTTTCCCCCAGTAATACAGTGCAGAGCTTTAATAACTTCATGCTGAGAGAACCCTTGCCCCACAAGAGGCACTGTTCTAAGGCCATCATATGAATATGCACACTAGGTCGTTAACAGTCCTTCAATTACTTATGACTGTTCCCCCTATGCAGAGAGAGGACTAAGTTTATCTGCAGGGCCGCTTTAAGCTGTAATACTGCTGGGCTTGAGCCATCCCTTTCTCTGACCTCTCCCGGGACACCTAAAAGCATATGCAGGAAGCTGCATTTGGCTGGCGTTTCCCTACTGGTCCTTCTGATCAGCAGCCCTAGAGCAGGAGTACCGTTAAAGTGACTGGACACCCATCTCAAAGTTCATGAGGCAGGGACAACGTAAAACCGCGGGGCAGAAGTTTCCATGAAGCTAACCACTATACATGCAAAGTGGTCCCCAAACTTGCTGTGCCTAAGAAGGCACCTGAATCCTAGGTAGCCTGGTGAAACAAGACATGCCCTTGCTGCCCTGCATGCAATTTTACTTGTTTTTAATAAGCCATTTGGTGCATAATGTGTATGTTTTGCCTTCCAGGCTCCCACGGGTGCTAAGTTAGACATGAAGGTGGACTCGATAGAAAGGAAAGTCTCCATCAGAGATCAGCCAGCACTTGACGAAACCACCAAGAAAAAGAAAACCACCGACCAACCGCCGCTTGGATTTCCTGTTACCCAGGACCAAGATGATAGTGAAGGAGACCTGAAGGATGCTGACAAAATAATGGCACAAAGGTTTAAAGTCTATGACCAGAGTCTGAAGGATATCCAAAACATCCTCACATATTGGGACCGCAAGCAAGGGATCCAGATGCCCCACACAGGCATGGAAGATTTAGCTCATGAGCCTGATGACCAGCGCCAGGCTCCCTCTGGCGGCGGTGGAGGAGGAGGAGGTGGTGGGCGCAGGGGCCGCAAGGACAGGGAAAGGGAGCGCTTGGAGAAGGAGAGGGCCGAGAAGGAGCGCCTGGAAAGGGAGAAGGCTGAGAGGGAGCGCCTGGAGAAGCTGCGGGCCATGGAGGAGCGGAGTGACCTGGAAGTAGAGGGGGAAGAGGAGCAGCATGAGGGGAAGAAGGATCTGGGGGTGCCCTTTATCAGCATCCAGACTCCAGACTTTGAAGGCGTAAGCTGGAAGCAGGCCCTGGAGAGCGACAGGCTTCCCAAAGAAGATCAGGTACAACTGCTTCTGTGCAGTAAAACCACAGATGAGGCCTAGGGACTGTGCTAACTACCATAAACATGTTTCTTTCTATTGAAAATCCACATCCCCTTTGATTAATCTCTGATGCCTCCTTGGATATAGGACAACAATGGCTAAAGGGACATTTTTGAACCATAGACAGTTCCACCAGCTTATTCCGTCTATCTGGACTCATTAAAAGCCATCTGTACAGTTGATCTTTAATATTGCCAACACTAGTACCGGGGGAATAAGAGATGTGCTTTGGAGGCAATCAAGAGACTTCTCTGTTCCAAAATTTCTTTCCCACTAGCTTTCCTTTGGGTTGGGAATTAATCTTTTAGGTAGCCTTTCACTACTACCAACAGAAGTACAACCTCAACTGATGACTTAGGGGGAGGAGGAGATAGATAGATAGATAGATAGATAGATAGATAGATAGATAGATAGATAGATGCTATATCATATATATGTGTGTGTATATATGATTAGAAAGTAAAATTGTAGGCTGAAGGTCACAGAGTCTTTGAGCAACCACTTACCTCAGCCTTAGGAAGCTGAAGGCAAACACCAAGTTACGATGGCCATGGCCATGTTCCAATAACCTTTACTTACAAAAGCAAACAGCAGCCCAAATTTCTCAGAGAGTGGGTGGGGCCTTGGTCTGCTGACCTCTGGTTCATCAGTGATGAGGTAGAATCTTTAGAACAGATGAGAGCCCTAGAGCGGTGATTGGCAGGTAAGAGCTGGAGGAGGGTGAACACCACCCTTTATGAAGGTGACTTTTTGTGAGTGTCCTCACAGCCTTACCACTGTGGGCCCAGAGTGTGGCTAAAGAATATACAATACCCCCTCAATTCAACACACAGTTTTGTTTCAGGTGGAGCTTAGGTAAAGGGCTAGTGGGAACGGGGACTCAAGAAATGCTTTCCTTTCTGCTGAGAACATCTTAAGTACCCTCCACATTCCGACTCATAGGCTGGCTGGACTTTAACTTAATAACTGGTGTTAGGGACTTGTGGCATTCTCTGCGGACATTCTAAACCCTAGGAAGCAACTCGAGCTCCATGCCAGGATGCTCTGTGGTCCACAGGGAGGAATACACAAGTTACATGGAGGTCTTGACCTGGTAAACCTACCAGGCCACTTAGTCCACAGAACAGGCTATGGCCTTCACTAGTGTAATGAGTCTAGACACTGAGTGTGCATCCTGGTAAAGAACTTGCTGCCCAGGTCCCAGACCCTTACTTTGGAGATGACTCACACGGTGTAAGAAAGGCCAGAACCTTAGCTTTGATTTCTAGATTTTTTTCTTTGCTGTATATAACCTGGCCTCCTCCCAGCTTTTGTTTGTCTTTGGAAAGAAAGAACATTTAAAGAAAAAAAAAAAAAAACAAAAAAAAACGAACATGAAATATAAGAACGGATGAGCCAGGTCTCTGCTTCAGAGATCTGAACCTTAAGAGCTGGTCTGTTTAAACTAAACAGCCTTGTGGAGGATTAGGCAATCTGTGTATCAACCTGGTTCCTGCTTAATGGAGTCTTTGGTCATATTTGCAAAGACAGACAAATGGTCACAAGGAAGTGTGACAAAGGCTATGAGAAATGCAGAGCACACACAGCCCACAGCAAAAAGCCTCCAGGGTAGTGTGAAAAGACTGGCCAAGCTGAGTCGGAAGTCCATTCTTCACTTATCTCTAGAGAACACTGAGGGCAGGGAAGGTTGTATGGTCCGCCCTTGTTCATTCTAACAGGGGTGTAGAGTCGGTGCAGAATCTGTACAGGAAATTAACGCAAAGCTTTTCATCTAGATCCTGGACATGCTAGGCCTGGGGTCCTCTGGACCACCCATTCCAGCTCCTGCCTTGTTCTCCATCATCTCTTACCCACTGAAGAGGCAGTCTTTCATCGCCAACGAGGTCCTGAAGCACTTTGTGTTTGTGATCCCAAGTGATGAGCTCACTCTGTTGGACGAGAAAAAAGAATTAGATGGAGACTCAGATATCTTCCTCAACACCATGATAGCCAAGGTAAAGCCTCTGTGGCTGGTCTTGAACTTGGCAGGGTTTGCAGGACAAGAGAGGAAGGCCATCCCCATAGGGCAACACTCTGAGTCTGGCATGAGGCATGTTTCTCTGGACCTCTTGCCTGAGGAGCCTCCATGAACTTCCCTCACTGTCTTCCCTGTGTCTACCTAGGAGGAGACTGAAAATAATTGCTGCTACTCTTTGCCTTTCCCAGTCCCCAACGGACAGCTTAGGAAATATATCACATTACTCCAAAGCTCATATCCAGCAAAAAAGTTAGTCAAAGCTAGGTTTTTTTATTATTATTATTATTATTATTATTATTATTATTATTATTATTATTGGTATGAGTTTTTTCATGCCAATGATTGGGTCCGTCCTGAGCTTCTGTCCAGCAGTGTCATGTGCTCTGACCATATTTCCCATGATCCCTCCTGCCCTCTGCCACTAGTCCCTTTCCTTCTCCCCAAACAGTGCCCCTTCTATTTTCATGCACAGACACGGATGTGTGTTTGTGCTGATATGCATCCGCATGATCTAGGTTCCGCTCATGAGAGAACGCATGAGGTGTTTGTTTTTGTGAGTCTGGCTCTTTTCATATAAGGATCTCCAATTCCCTTCATTTTCCTGCAGATGACATAATTTCACTCTTTTCTTTAAATCCAGAAATAAAACTCCGTGTGTGCGTGTGCATGTGTGTGTGTGTGTGTGTGTGTGTGTGTGCGCGCGCACACACACACAGGTGCTCACGCAATGTTCTCTTCACATTCTTCTGTTGCCGAAAACCTAGGCTGACTGCATGACTTGGCTGTTGCGAATAGGGCCACAATAAGCATGGAGGAGCAAATGTATCTGTGGTGGGTTGACATAGGTCCCTTTGGGTATATTCCCAGGAGGGGTAGAGCAGAATCATAGGATAGTGTTTTGTTGTTGTTGTTGTTGTTTTGTTTTGTTTTGTTTTTTATGTTGTTGGATTGTTTGTTTGTTCTTTGTTTTTGAGGAGTCTCCGTACAGATATTTTCCACAGTGGCTACAAAAGTTTACATTTCTGACAGCAGTATAGCTTTGGTTTGCATCTCCCTGATGGCTAAGGATGTGGAGAGGTTTGGGGTTTTGTGTTTTTGTTTGTTTGTCTGGGGTTTTGTTGTTGTCTCATGTATCTATTGATCATTTTTACTTCATCTTTTAAGAAGTAACTTTCGTTTGCCTGTTTATTGGTTGGGGTTTGGGGAGGTATTTAATTTTCTGGGTCTTTCATCTAGTCAAGATATTATTCCACTGTCAGATACATAGCCAGCAAAGGTTTTTCCTTGTTCTCCGGGCTGTGTCTGCCCTCTGCTCATGGTCTGGGGGTTGTGACTGTACTCTATCTATGGCTTCCTGTGCTGAACTGGTGCTTCTGGGTTTCAGGTGATCCCATTTAGTAATTCTTGAAATGATTTCCTGAGCTGTTGGAATCTTCTTTCACCCCTGCCTAGGCCTGTATCTTTTTTAACAATTTATTCAATTCATATCCCAGCTCTAGCCCTCTCCTTCTCAATCCTCTCCTCCCTCTTCTCCTCCCATGCCCCTCCCCCAGTCCACTGATAGGTGAGGTCCTCCTCCCCTTCCCTCTGACCCTAGCCTATCAGGTCTCATGAGGACTGCCTGCATTGTTTTCCTCTGTGGCCTGTTTCCCCCTCAGGGGGGAGGTGATCGAAGAGCTAGCCACTGAGTTCATATCAGAGACAGCCCCTGTTCTATGCCTGAATCTTAGAGAATAAGAAACAGAGAATATTCTGTTTCTCTTTTCCTCTCTCAGAGTTTCAAATCTTACATTTAAGTTTTTGGCCAATTTTGAATTGCTTTTTGGTGAAAAAGATGGATGTAGTCTCATCTTACACATGGGTATCCGGTGTTCTAGCACTGTCTGATGAAGACACTGTCTCTTCTCAATAGATTTTTTAACATACATTATGTATTTAAAACAAAAAACAACTTAGGTGGCTGTTGCTGTATGATTTGTCTCTTGGTCCTCCATTCCATTCTACCCATCTGTGTGCCTGCTACCATGCTCTCTAGTGTAAGTTGGTGATATGGGATACCACCAGCTTTGCCCTTTTTCCTCAAGATTGCTTTGGTGACTCATGATCTTTGTGCTTCCATATAAAACTTAGGATTTTTTTCTGTCATACGACTGTTCTCATAAGAATTTTGAGACGGATTGCATTAAATCTGTAGATAGCTCTCGGTAGTGTAGCCATTTCCACAATCTTACTTCTGCTCGTCTATGAGCATGAGACTTTCTAGTGTCTTCTTCAATTTCTTTCTTCAACCAAAACTAGCTCGTAATGTTAGTATGTGTGTTGACCAATATGTGTGAGCATGTGTATAATGTGTATCAGTGAGTGTGAGTGTGGGTATAGGCTAGGAAACCAGAAAGAGGGCCATTAGAGGGCACCCAGTGTTGAGGAAGGAGGGGCCATGACACATGAAGCAGGAAAAGAGGCTATGGGGGAGGGGATCAAAGTGTACCCAGGTGGCCACGAGGATGAAAGAAGAGAGGGGGATCCGCAAAGACAAATTTTGTTTGAAAATGCCATAATGAAGCACAATACTGTGGTATACTAATTTTGAAGAACTGCCTCTTTTCAAAAAGCCGAGAGATGCGTTCCAAACCTAGGGTAATTCACAGTGTAAGAAGACAAAGGTTAGGGCTGGAGACATGGCTCAGCGGTTGAGAGCACTGCCTGTTCTTCCAGAGGTCCTGAGTTCAATTCCCAGCAACCATCTATAATGGGACCCAATGCCATCTTCTGTCCTTCAGAGGTACACGCAAGCAGAGCACTAAAATACATGAAACACAAAAATCTTAAAAAAAAAACACTTTTAAAAATAAATCTCCTTTTAAAAATGCAAAGATCATAGGTTAAGGGAATATACACCACCAGAGAAAAATTAGATTAAAGAAATTACCATGAGAAGATTGTTATTTTGCATAAAGTCACTTTTTAATCTCTTTGTCTATTAATACATGAAAATAAATTTCAGTTGAACCAATTTTTTAATTATCAAAATAAAAATCATGTAAAAGTAGAAAAATTATGCATACAGTTCATAGAAGAAACCACAAAAAGAAATAGACTTGAGCAATAATATGTAATATTATATAATATTGTAATATTATAATATTGCAATATTACAATATTATAGTATATAATATATATACTATTATAGTATATAATATATTATACTATATATTATATATTATATTTATTATATTATAGTATAGTATATATAATATTATAATATTACAATATTATAGTATATAATATTACAATTATAACCATGACTTTTTATCCCAAGGAAGAATGGTGAGCCAACATTTTAATCCCTTTACATGCACTTTGCACTTCCCAGGAAAAAATGAAACCACCTATAGGCCCTGACTACCCCACCATGAGGTTCTATGCCCTGTCCAACATCCAGGTGCCTAGAAAATCAACATCTGGAGTGATCAGCATTAGTGGGTATGCCTCACCAGAGCACCCAATGGTGATTCTGCAACGCAAAGATAGAGTGGGAAAATTAGCGTCATCATCATCAGGAGCTATTGTACCAACCCCCTCTTCTGAAAACTGGCCCTGTCCAAAAAATAAAAATAAAAAAAAAAAACAATTAAGCAACTTTTAACTTGTCATTTGAGGAGGAACTATAGCTCTTTTGCAACTGACAAGGAAATTTTATTCTTGGACTGGAAGATAATAGCTTAAAATATAAAATGATGGCAGAATTCAAGTTATGATGATTGGACATACATGAGAGGAACTTGATTAAATTATACTACAGAAATGTAATAACAAATGCAATGTGATAATCTATAATATCTAACCACCTGGGAACTGTCTTAATTACTTTTCTATTCCTATGAAAAGACACCATGACCAAGGCAACTTCTCAAAGGACGCATTTAATGGAGGCTTGCGTATAGTTTCCAAGGGTGAGCCCATGACTGTCATGGCAGGGTGCATGGCAGCAGACAGGCATGGCACTGGACCGGGAGCTGAGAGGTTACGTTTCATCTGCAAGTTGGAGACAGGCAGAGAAAGACTGTGCCTGGCATGGGCTTTTGAACCTCAAACCGCATCCCCAGTGACACACTTTCTCTAGCAAGGCCACGCCTCTTAATCCTTTCCAAAATAGTTCCACCAGCTGGGGACCAAGCACTCAAATCTGAGGCTGGGGGGGCCCTTCTCATTTGAACCACCACAGGAACACAGCTATAAGAAGGAATGCCTAAGGGACTGGAGAGATGGCACAGCAGGTAGAGCACAGGCTGCTCTTCCAGAGGGCCTGAGTTCAATTCCCAGCAACCACATGGTGGCTCACAGCCATCTACAATGGGATCTGATGCCCTTTTCTGGTATGCATGAAGACAGAGCACTTGTGTATATTAAATAAATCTCTTTTTAAATGCATGCCAAGGACACATAAGGAAGTATTAATATGCACTGTGTGATGTTATGAAAATGTTGTTCGCATTCCTAGCTCTGACTGACTGTTATGGTAGTGCAGGAGCAAAGTCCTTGTTGTGAGGAGACATGAGCTGAAGTACTTAGAAGCAGAGTGTCAGATTGGTGGGGATCTAGATTCATCGGTGAGGCAAACAAGCACCTGGGCATGTCTGTGAGGAATTTTCTAGACTGGGTTAGTTAAGACAGAGAGACCAACCCTAAATGTGAGTAGCACCATTCTTTTGCCTAGTAAATCCTGGACTGACTACACAGGAGAAAGCCAGCTGGGTGTGAGCATTCCTCTCTCTCTGCTTCCTGACCAAGGGCATCGTGGCAAGCCACCCAGCACTCCCCCCACCATGACTTCCCCCACCTTTGTAGACTCAAAGCAGAAGCCAGAGTCAACCCTTCCCAAGTTGCTTTTGCCAGGCAATTCACCAACACATGAGAGAATACAGTCGCCATCTGGGGCTTGATTTAGGGTTACCGGAAGTCAGGGCTATACTTTGCCTTCAGTTTTTAACGTCTTCTAATACTGAAAGGTTAAAATGATCAATGAACTAAAAATAAGAGGAAAAAATAGATCAAGTAGCATGAAAAATGCACTAGAAAAATGGGAGCTCCTTATTAAATATGGCCAATTAGATACAAGTGCTTGCTTGTACTCCTTCCCAAAATAGTAAGAGATTCTGCTAAATCCCTTTTTTAAGTCCTAAGAACAAAGAGAAGAAGAAAGGAGATGGTGGGGAGTGGAATATGCCAATAAAATATTAACCATCATGTGGCAGGTGGCCGGAGAAACTGGCCCAGGCAGTGCCAAGGAAGTTGAATGCCCAGCTGGCTATGATGGGACCCTGCCAGGAGCTGAAATCCATTCCATATGCTCCCTGCCAGCTTCAAGATTGCTGTAGGGTTTCTCCTTCCTCCTCAGGGGACAGAGTACCCGGAGAAACACTGATCTTTTCACTAACTCACGAAGCTGGCCCTATCCTTTCCCAGAGGCCAGCACCTGCGGCTCACCCCACCCCCACCCCCAGACCGCAGACACGCCGTGGGCACCTCTTGTCTTTGCTGTGTGTTGCAAGTAATTAAGACTTTGTGCTCCCTTTAAATTAAGGCCCAAGAGGAACAGGCCTCTTCGTCTAGGGGGGCCAGGCTGAGAACGAGAGAAAAAGCCGAACAACTTCGTGAAAGTCAGAGGGAAAAACGCCGCGCAAACTACACCAGGAAAGGCCTCACCGGAGGGCCATCAGGTACCACGGTCTCAATCTCTGACATGGATCAGAACAACTTCGACGGAGAACACACCCCGGAGAAGTTCATTAGGTAGGCCTCGCGGTGACCAGGGTGAGGGAGGATGCAGCCCCGAGTTGGGAGCACGGCTGTCGCAGCACCAGACAGGTGCAGGACTGTCGCGGGAGGCCCTACAGCCCGCCATGCCTAACCTGTCCTCCTCCCCGGAAGCATGGTTACTCTGAAAGCCTGTGTGGTCGTTTCAGGCTGAATCACTTCCGGTGGATCGTGCCTCCCAATGGAGAGGTGACCTTGAGAGTGCACTTCTCCTCTACTGACGTGGGCAACTATGACCAAACGTTTAATTTCGAGCTCCTCGGGACCCACCGCCAGTACCAGCTCTACTGCCGCGGGGTCTGCACCTACCCGCACATCTGCAAAGACCCGAGGTGAGTGCATTTTATTTTCAAAGAAAAGGTCCAAATGTACGCTTTTGAGTCCCTCCATCCCCAAGACATTTTGAGCAAGGTAGGTAATTTAATAATATGTGGGGACCGATGAAAATGCTAAACAGATAAAGGTGCTTGCTGCCAACACACATACACAAATAAAATAAATAAATATTAATATTATACTGATAACAACAACAATACCATTGAACTCGGAACATACCCCAGACCCTCTTGTATCAGACTTGAGTGTATCAGACCTTGAAATAATAGCAACATAGATCATATGATATACAAGGTATTCCCAGACTGAAACAGAATAAACATTAAATTAAAATAAAAGAGGAAAAAAAATCCTCTTATGGCAAGTGAGTCCATCTATTTAACTAGTAAGCAAACTCAGAGCACTTTTAGTTTTACTCTAGGGTTTGTCATCCTGTGAGATGAACACGTCGGGGAACCTCCACGGCTGGCTCTTCTCTGAGCCACTCAACACCGCTGTGCGGTTTAGGCCTCACAAAGAGGCACCTGGGAGGGCAGAATGCAAGGTGGCCCCCCCACTGGAGAGAAGGACCTTCTGTAGCTGGCCCTTCTTCGTAATTCTCACCAAAGAGCCCTATTTGACCGAGGAACTGAGAAGCTGATTAATACCTTCCAGAACTATGTAATGGTTTGTCTGAGAGATTCTTGTGGATTTTTCATATGGGCGTTCTGGGAGCAAACTGTCCAGCTCAGCGCCACGTGTCTTTTTCCCTAGTTCAAACCATGTCATCTTCTCTTAGAAAGCAGGAGGTAAGCTTCCACAAAGATCCTCAAGCCATCTGTCTTCGGACACCCACTGCTTTCCCTGACACTGGGGTGCTGGGTTCATAGCACACGTCACATAGCAACACTGAACCTCCATTTGCGTGTCCTCATGTTTACCCCTTCCTCCCCTGTCCTCAGAGTGGTGTTCCCTCAGAGGAAGAAAGATAAGAAAGTAAATGAAGTCATCTTCAAGAAGTATGTGATGAGTATGGAGAAGTTTTACTTTGGGCCTCTGCTCTGTGGAAAGTCAAGGGACAAGTAAGTGTCGCGTTCTTTCAAACTCAATTGCAGATTTCTGGGTTGAGTTCGCAAACACCGCAAGAAGAGGTTTTATGTAAGCATGGCTTTTATTGACACTGCCCCAAACTCGTTACCAGGAAAACTGGATCCTTGTGTCCCAAGTCTCTGCTTTGACAGTCAGGTGACTCAGCTACCACTCTCCCTCGTGGGAAAACCTAGAAAAAAGACCAGGCTTTGGAAAGGTGGAATCAAGACTACACTTTGAGATGTATCAAGTCTAAGTTGTTTAGAAGATATCTCTAGGAGCCACATAAATCAGAGAATAGAATATTATGGTTTGGGTTCTCACAAGACAGTTCTGTCTTCAAGATGACAAAAACTGTGAACATAGACAGTATGACAAAAGGTGAGTTGCATGTAGTCAGAAGGAAAGGACAAGGGATGATTCGACAGAGAACTTCTACATACACAAGAGGAGTCCACAACAGACATGAGAAAGAGGGCCCAAGTTCTTGAAGGAAACCAGGAGAAAGGCTTCTTGTGGCTCCACAAGAAGAGTGGAGGATCAGCCAAGTCAATTTTACAAAAAAGGCAGGAAGATGAAAGTGCAGTCATGCACTGGGTTCAACCACAGGGCATTGGGTAGGGGGTGGCGCTTAGCAAGAGTCCTTATGGAAAATCTCTGGGAATTATGCCCAAGTTAAATGGGTTGAAGAGTCAGTGCAAAGGAAGAGGAATAAAGATGGATGCAAAAAATAACTTGCAGGAAAAGTGTGGTCATCAGGATGATGGGGAAGTCAAGGATCGGGGCAAGATGGAAAACTTGGAAGCCTGGTTGGATGCTTTTGTTCTTGTACTGTCTGTATTCAAAGGGAAAGTAAGACGAGGAGAAAGTTAGGGCTATCCATCGCATAGCTCCCTGAGACTACACAACAGGATATGGGGTGCTGGCCTTTGCCAGGAGGAGGAAACACTGTCTTATACCAGGAGGGAGGAAAGAAGATAAATTTGGGTGAAGATATGATTACAGGTATTGGATATAACTAACGGAACAACTATGCTTATTTTCTTCACGACAAATTATTTGAGGTCATCTTAGAGAAAGTGAAGAATGTTTATCATGAGGTAGAGACACTATGAAGAACATTTGTTGTAGGGAGGTGAATGCTCACACCCAGTTGGCTTTCTCCATTTTGTTCAGTCCAGATTTACCCGGGCAATAGGTACTGCCCGCATTTAGGGTTGGTCTCTCCCTCTCAGTCAAACCAGTCTGGAAAAATCCCCCACAGACCTGCCTAGAGGCCTTATCTCACAGATGATTCTAGATCCCATCAGTCTGATACTCAAGTTTCTAAGTAGCTTAGTGGTAGAGTATTTGCCTCATTAGCTCTGAGTTCAATCTCCAATACACATAAAGTGGAGACAGAAGAGTCAGAAATGCAAAGTCATCTTTGGTTTCACACGGGTTTCAAAGCTGAATTACATAGTCTCACCAATAGGAATACCCAAACATGAACTGAACAAAAATTATACTAGTAGGTACGCAAATGAGGAAAAGCCCATGAGGCTTCAACCATACGCAGAAAACTACAGGCAGCTAAGTAAGAGTTTTTCCCTGGGAAGACAGTATCAATTGGTTATCCAGTCCCACATAGTCATCCCTGAGAACATACACATGAGTAACATTATATGGACTGAGCAGGTTCTATTTAGGAATATATTTGTATGTATATACGTATGTATATACGTATATGCATGTAACAACGGTCAGTGAAGAGGCCATGAACTTGAACGAGAGCAAGGAGATATATAAGGGAGGGCTCAGAGGTTGTACAGGGAAAAGAGAAATGCTGTAACTATATTAGAATATTAAATTTTTCTCTTAAAGGCTGAGCTACATGAGAGCCTTCTCAGACACGGGGAGAGAAGGGGGAGAGGCGACTATGTTAAAGGAACAGTTGAAGATTGCTAAGCAGACAAGCAGAATTGGGGTCCCAGATGAGGTTGCTTATCATAATCATAATATTAGTGATACTAGGTGGTTTTTTGTTGGTTTTTGTTTGTTTGTTTGTTTTTTGGTTTTTTACTTATTCGGAATTTTTATTGCACAGGCAAAGAATTGAGATAGTAAGAGAACCGAAGTCCCCATCTAGTCCCTCCTTCCTGTGGCACACACAGGGTTTATTTTGTGCCTCTTTGGTCTCTTTGGTGGGGCTCATGGATTATCTTTGTTTCCACATTTTTTAAATCTCCTCTAGTTTGTTTTCTGAGGAGCTAGACTAGAAAGTAAGATAAAGATGCTAATGGTGGACAAGTCTTTAAGACCCAGAAGAGTTTAGGCAGCTCTATTTGATGGACATGGCATACAAAGTTTAGTGGTGGGAATCAGATAAAAGATGGTTATTCACATATTCACAGAAGTGTGTGTGTGTGTGTGTGTGTGTGTGTGTGTGTGTGTGTGTGTGTG